AAAGTCCTATTTTGGTTTTCAACTTTCCTATTTTTTAGGAAGTACTCCCTCCGTCCCACTGTCTTTGTCCACTTACCTTTTGACACACCATCCAATGCACTTCTTTAATCCATTTTATCTTGTAATTTGTATATTAAAAAATTATAGAAATTATATATTAATAATCTATATGTTAAGACAAATCAAACAAGATCACACATGACTATATTTAGGCTTACACATTGAGAGAATTTGATGAGTCAAAGTGCTTAGATGAACAGTTCCAAAAGTCAAAAGTGGACAAAGATAGTGGGACGGAGGTAGTATATTTTTGTTTCCAACATACTGATTCCTCTATGAGTATTAGGGTGAACAGATTGGACATAAAACAGTCCGCTTTAAGTGTGTTGTTCAGGGCATTGAGTCATTCATCCTCAACATTTGTTATTGCAATGTAATATGCTATCGTATCTCTTATGTTTCACTCTAGATAATGTATATGCTTTTCGGGCACCATTCATGACTCTATATTTGATATGTGATTGTGATGTAGTGACTAGAGGATGGGAAACCAGCAGGAAATTTCTAGTGAGGAAGGTAGACACATCCTTGAAGCAATTGCGGCAACTGGAAAGTTTTGGTAGATTTTTTTTCCATTGCAATAGTTGGTATAAGGACGATGTTGAATAATGATTGATGATCTAAACAGCCTCCATACTTTCGAGTAGGGGTAAGGTTTGCGTACACCCCCAGTCCCCACTATGCTCTAGTGAGATTCAACTGGGTTTTGTTGTTTGATCTAAAATATTTGATCTATTGATTGATAATGTTCAAAATACTCCCTCCATTACACTATTTTTGTCCTGTTTTACCTTTTTTGTCCGTCCCACTATTTTTGTCTTATTCCATATTTAGTCATATTTTTTTTGTGCTTCACAACCATTCTTACTTTATCTTACTTTTTAACATCAATATCAACCACACAAACCTACTTTGCTTAATTTCCGGGCCAATCTCCCAGGGGCGGATCTAGGGTGGTTGCAGTGGGGTCACTTGCACCCACTCCAAAAAAAATTATTTATTAGTAGTAGTATATAATTAGATATTATATGTAGACTAAGGGCATCCAAGGAGAGTATATTTATATGTGATTAGGTGCTATTTTTTGAAAATGGAAGAGAGGACACATCCTATAGTTGTGTAGAATTTTATGTTTTAATTCTTTTAGATTTGGAAAACTGATTTACCTTTCATTTTGAAACTTAATTATAAAATGTTCAATTTTTTTTGAAATGTATGAACAAGTTTAATTGTTTTAAAAAGATTCCAAAGATATACTTAGTATTTGAAGAAATGTCTAGAATTACGTAGTACTACTTTAGTTCTTTAATTTTTTTGGTTAAAACAATGAGCGTATTATATTTTAATACAGTATTTCAAAAATATTGCATATAATTCACAATATTAATCTCAGAATGCTATTTATTGATACTTTTTTTACCTTTAAAGTTTTAAATTTATTGTTATACAAATATCAACATTTTTTTGTGCACAAAATGTGAACCCACTCCCCAAAATTCTTGGGTCCGCCACTGCACTCTCCCATGTCCCAAAAACAGTGGGACGGAGAACACAACAGCAACCCAGTTGAATCCCACTACACTAGGGTCTGGAACAGTGGGACGGAGGAAGTAATATATAGTCATACTTTTTAGGGGTGGTCAACACTCAATCGTAAAAAAATGGGGAGAATGAAATTCATTATTTCTATGCTTCAGGTATTAGAACTTGAGTCAAGGGTGAATTATTGCACTTTTTGTTGTTCTACACTTGCTGCATTGTTAACTTGGATTTTTCAATGCTAGGACGCTTTCCCTTTTGTGACTACAATAAGCTCTAAAACTCTATTCTTTATGTGAATCATTATCTTTAACAATCTTCATCAGGCACGACTGGGATAAGCTGAAGAGTATTCTATCCTTCCAATTGAAGCAGGTAGGTGGAGGTATGCTGAACTGACAGCATATGAAAGTTGAATCAAGCTGGTTGTCTTCTTCATCCTATATTTAATGGACTTGGTTTTATAATTACATTGCTTTAGTTAGTATGTTAACGAGATTATATCTCTTATGATAAAGGTTCTGACAGACTATCCAGAGGCAAACTTGACTAATGAATTGCAAATTTCTTCATTAGGAGAGCCCTTAGCAGAGTTGGTGAAAAGGTTGGATGATGGTATTTCCACAGTCATACCTTTCACTCTCCATTGTTTTTTTTAAAATTAGAGACTGCTAGTATTGCCCCAAAGCTATCAGTTTCCATTGTGTTTCTTTGAGTTAAAGCAACTCAACTAAACCTCGCTGTGGATATCTAATTGCAGCCAACTTTATGGACTCTGTTTTGCAAACATCAGAGTTCAATGTTTTATGTGGGATGTAGACATTGTACAACTTTCTTCCTTTAGAAATGCTTGGAAAACCAGATGGGCAGAGCAGAGTAGTGAAACATAAAAGTATGAAAGATATGATTTATTGACACTCCATGCAATTGAGTTTCATGTCTGCTGGTATCTGGTGTCTTTTTTTGCTCTAGAGTATGTACAACTCTGTATTTGTTTGTCCAAGGGAAACTTTTATATCTGAATGCAACAGAAATATAACTCCCTCCCTCCGATATCTTTCTTCCCTTTCCTTAGATAGAAAGACTATTTACTTTTTTACCACTAAAAGACTACTTTACCCCTTACTTTTGCACTATTCACCTTCTTCACACACCCCTTCAAGTTTTACGCCACCAAGGGTAAAATGGAAAGTTAAACAATTTTTTTCATTTTACATTAAATAACATGCCAAGTCAAATTGGGAAGAAAGATATGAGACGGAGTGAGTACATTTGTATTGGAAAGGGACATTTTTTCTTGAGAAATGCATATATAAAGATTCTGAGTAGAATTCCTAGTAGTTAGTGCTATGGAAGCAATCGAAGTTCACAATGCATCATCTACATCCAGCACCTTCATTTACCCTTCACACTCCTCAACCGTGAAGTTGCTCTATTAAACCTTTCTGGTCCTCTATTAAACTCTATTAAACTAAATTCATTTGGGACTACCTTTTGCAGATCTTAATAGCTTTATCGTTGGTCCTCCATTTACTTTACAGCGACTGTGTGAGGTGTGATACAAATAGACCTTCTGCATATCTTTCTTCATGTTTACAGTTTTTCCTTCACCGATTGCTTTTGGTACTGTGCAGATTTTGTTGGATGCACGAAACATTTACCCGAAGCTCTCAAAGCTTGTCTTGGCGTTAGAAAAGGTAAGATCTTAGTTGTTTTCCACAGTTATTCAACATTAACCTGCTTTAACCGTTTGGTTTAAGTGGTTAAACTTTGTTTGGGGTATTGGCCACACTCATGCATAAACAGTTTTTAAGAGTTACAACATACATACAACTCGGCAGAATTCCAACCTTGTTGAGGTCTGGGGTCAAGATGTTCGTAATCTTGCCCCGTAAAAATGGAGAGGCTGTTTTTGTTAGACTATAGATGTTTGAAGTTGGTAATTGCATGAACTAAATGAATTACAAATTCTCAATATGATTTCCAAATTCTAATATATTTACTCCTTAGTAATGCTAAACTATTGGAATTAACCAAATATTTCTATATTCCTATTTTTTTGTTGGTTTAGGTAAATCTAACACAGTACACCTGTGGATTAGTTTTCTCCAATTAAAAACATTAAGAATGGCAAAATTTAGCTTATTTCGGTCAATGAGGGCTCTTTAAAACATCAAAATTAGATTCGTTTTGAGACAAAATATGTTTAGCCACATGACTCCTTTTTCGAGACGGAGTAAATCTAGTCTAATGATTTATAACATGTGTACCTTAACAAAATCAAAAGCTGCACCTTAATCAAACTTGACCCCCTTCCTTTTTCATTATGAAGTACAATGTAAGCCTGTAATTGTTTCCAATTTTTGTTCTAGATATATTACACGTGGTCTAAGATTCCTTTGGGCGCGTTAATTTTGTTTGATTGGAGAACCTATTTCTTCTGCTTAATAATAATAATAATAATAATAGTAATACTAATAATAATAATAATAATAATAATAATAATAATAATAATAATAATAATAATAATAATAATAATAATCACAATAATAATCATGATGCACGTGTTTACAGAACTTATTGGTTTCATCTACATTGACCATCTCTGCCGATCCACCAGCACCCGCGCTCAAACCAGCTGACACAGATCCAGAATCTCCCCCCGGGTCCCACCACCATCCATCGGAATCAATTGTACCCAATGGGATTGAAACAAGAGCCGACGATCCAGACGAAATAATGGGCGAGGCCGAGGCAGCTGAAGTTGTGGATGGCATGACCGTTGACATGGAAACCTCAGAAGACATCAGCACGGCCCCATCTGAAACAAATTCTGCCGAACCAAACGTGTGATTCATAAATTTGATGAGGTGGTTGGTATTGTCATGTAGTACTGTGTTCATTTTTCTCACAACTGTACTCCTCCTGGGATTTCAAGTGCATGCAACAAATTCATGTGTCAACTCGGATGTCACGACTATATGGAGGTTTTATCTGCCCCGTGAGAATTTGGTTGTTCATTAAATGCAATACAATTCCATTTACTTTAGTTTAGGTTGCATTCCGATTTGCCAGATTTGATTTTTTAAAGTTCTAATAAGGTCTAGTCTGCTCTGATATGATAGAATCTGATTTTTTGAGGTTCTAATAAGGTCTAGTCTGGTCTAATATGATTAAATTTGATATGTTTGTATCTCATCTCATTTGGTGGGATCTGATATGATATAAATTTGATTAAAATTAAAATTAAAAATATTATTATAATAGTTATAATAATAGTAATAATAATAGAAATATTAATAATAATAGTAATAATAATAATAATAATTATAACAATACTAATAATAATCATAATCATAATATTTATAGTAATAATTTTAATAACAATAGTAGTAATCATAATAACATTAATAATAATAGTAGTAGTAATAATTAATAATAGCAGTAATAATAATAATAGTGATAGTAATAGTAATAATAATAGCAATAGTAATAATAATAATAATAATAATAACAGTAATAATAAGGGTAATTTACCTAAATGAGACTAAAATATAATGACTTTCTCAATATAGAACTCGTAGGGGTGCACCTTTTATGTGTCAGTGTAATATTAGGGTGAGAGTTCACACAAACACAAAATATTAGTGTATTTTTTAGTTAATGCACTAGCATTTTGTATCAGTGAAAATCATCAAAATGTTAGTGTATACCTTTGGTGTAACTTTTGGGTACACTTTTTGGTATAAGTGTAGCATGGTTGAATTTTAAAACACTCCAAAATTTTACGAAAAATTATCTAGAAACAATTTCAAAACACTAACTTTATTGGTCTTAAAGAAAAAAATTTTATATTTCACTGTGATATATAAGTATCTTAATTTTATTGAAATTTGTGAGTTTTGGGTCGCCGTTAAAAAGATAACGCGATTAACAACTAGTCAACGGAAGTGGTCTATTTTGCGCAACAAAATGAAAGTAGAGATTATTTTTTATGAATTTTTATTTTAGAATTTTTTTGAAATTTCAATTTAGTGTTTTAAATGACTTTCTACCTCCATTTTTTTTAAATTATTAGCCTTACCTTAGAAAAAAATAAAAAGTAAATATAAATATAACAAAATGAGAAATATAATGAAAACCATAAAAAAAATTAATAAAACATATTCCGTATAAGGCATCATTCGCTACTACAAAAAAGGTCAAATGAACTACCTCAGCTCCTTTATATTAAAACTAGATTCATACCCGTGCGATGCACGGTCATGAAGTTTTTTAATTTTTTTTATTTTTTATAATTAAAATTAATTGTTGAAAACGTTAACATATACATTTTCACTACAATGTGAGCATCAGAATAATATTTCAATTTGAATATCTATATATTTTAATCTTACCACTATAAGAATATTAAAATTGGTGAATGATGCAAACAGAGTTAGTAACATTTCATGCAGTTATGATTACTTAAATTACAATCATGGGCTAATAGCATGGGTGCCCCCGGTGATTTACAAAAAAAGGCAATAAAATTTTCTTTCTTTTCAAAAGTTATTTGTAAAATCCATATGGTTTCTAAATAGAGCACACATGCCCCCTACCTATTTTTAAAGCAGAAATGACATTTATGCCTTTTCTTTCTGTCAATCTTGTATTTTCCCAATTTTTTTATTACACAAATATATAAAATAAAATATGCGCTTCCCATCTCAAATTAAAATTTTCCATGAGCATCAATAAAAAGAATACTTATTTTAAGAAAATAATACTTTCAACTTTGAAGTTTTATTAATATTAAAGCATGTAGTTCGCGCACTAAAAAACAGTAATTGACCTAAATAAGACTAATACATAATGACTGTCTCAATATAGGATAATATGTTTTTATTTTCTAATATGGGACCATTGGTCATTATTAATTAGTCATTATTCAAGTAAATGTCCTCTATCACTGGACATTATTTCTTCTCCTGGACATTATTAAGTCATATTTAAGGAATAAAAATCTTTAAGTTCTATATTGGAAAATGACTTATGTTTTGGTCCTATTTAGTGCAAATTTTTCCTTAAAAAAAGGGGTTTGAAGGTAGGCCTTTCGTCCTAAACTTTTTCGCTTTTTAGGGCACTGGTAATACATATCACGCCACCCGGCGTTATGTTACTTTTGAAGCCCAGGGGGCGTTAAACACCGCCCCCCCTGGGGCTTCATCCGGGCTTCATTTCTTCTACTTCAAATATTTAACGGGCTTCAAAGCTCTTCCCCCCCCCCCCTCCCCACTCTCTCTTTAAAAAAAAATATACACAAACATAATTTTTTTTACTCTATATTTTGTTGTTTAATGTAATATTTTTTTGTTTAAATTTTTTTTAGTAATGTAATTTTGTTTTGTTTTTTTATTAAATTTAACATACTTTTTTTATTGACTGTATTTTTTATTTGATGAATTATTTCAGTTTGCAATATTTTACTACAACTCGAATTTGAATGAAGATATTTTTAGTTGCTCGAATAATTAGTAATTTCTTTGTAGTGTTATTTTTTTATGGATGTGATATTTTTTTAATGAATGAAACTTTTTTATGAATGTATTCTTCTATGAATGTAATATTTTTTTAATGAATGTAATTTTTTTAATGTACTAATCTCCTTTTGATTAATTTAAATAATAAATTAATTAAAATTTAATAATTTAAATTTAGAAGATGTATATTTAAAAATGTATAAAATGAAGGTTTGAAGCCCCTGTTTGAAGCCCCGGGGCTTCAAACCCATTTTCAGTGAATTTTTGGTGTAAGTTAAAGCTGACGTGGCAGAGAGAAAGAGTTTGAAGCCCCGGGGCTTCTCGAGTATTTCCAGTGCTCTTATTACAACCTGTAACGGCTGTAAGGCCTCATTTATGTTCTGGACACTTATGAATGTAATTAACCCTTTGTTCTCTAGCTATGAGCTATATATAAATGAATCGTTGTAGGTTTTAATCAACGTGCCTATGTCTGTTCTGTGAACCTACAGGTAACCTCTGTTATTTTTCAAAGGAATGCTAGGGGTACACCAAACAGTGTACCCTATTTTTACACTATGCATCTTTACCCTTCATTTCTTTTTTTATTTTTAATTTTTTTGCTATCTTGCTTTTGTATGGTGGGGATGGAGTGGGGTACGAATTGGGTACACCATTTGGTGTACCGCTAACATTTTTGTATTTTTCATTTTTGTGCAATTCACTATATATCATTAATTCATTCTCTATAATGTCGTGCAATTTATCAAGGGCGGATCCATATTATAGTAGTTGGGGGCAATGCCCCCCCTGCTATTTTTAAGTTTTTCTTAATCATATATATTGTGATACTTAATCATTTTTAATGTTTCTTAGAGTCATGTAATTTATGACCCCAACTAAAAATATTAGAGATGCCAATTGAAAGCATTAGAGACTTCAATTAATGGTGTTAAGTAAGAAAACAATGAGAAAAGTTGAATGTTTAAATATTAAAAGAATATAATTTTAAAGTAAAATATTTAAAAGTCCAAAGATAAATTCTAAAGTAGTACACTAAAAATATACGGAGTAATAATTACACTAATTTATAATGTTGGCATTAAATAAAAAATTCATGTTTTTTTATTTTTTTTAGTATTTGATGAATAACTTTTTGAGGGTAAATTCATTATTTTTTTAAAGTTTCACATTGCATGTATAAAAAAAGTTTTGGAGACGTAGCCCCCGAACACCCAAAAAGTGACCCCTACTATCTAACATCCTCGATCCGCCTCTGCAATTTATATAGATTCTAATAATGAAAATCTTTTGTATATACCCAGAGAGTGATCACCGATTTTAAGATTAGTTCAAAGCTTCTAAGGTAATTTTTGGTATGACGATTGTGGCTACATCATAGCCCATAACAGATCTTGTTTAAGAACATCAGAAAATTTAGTCCCTCCAACTTAATTAGTAATCTACAAAAAGATCTATGTCAATGATTCATTGATATACTTAATTACTGAATTGAGTACATGTTGAAACTCTACTCTAAAACTCTTTGCCAGTAAACTCAGTAATTAAGGATCTTAATATATCAATGATCATTAATTTTAATGGTTGTGTAGGTACTATGAGCTCATGAACTTAATAATACATCTCCATCAACTAAAAACATTCAAGTACGGAGTGCATGTTTTTTTTCATACTTCACCATATAAAGTTCATTGCATGAATTGCTATGTACTATTTTTTCTCCGTCCCAATGTATTTGTCCAGTTTGACTTTTTTGAGTCAAATTGGACAAACTTTGAGCTTCTATTAAATAAAAATCGTAATGTATTTTAACATAAAAATGACTTTATTGGATTTATCGTATTGAAAACTTTCAAAATTATATTTGATTATGCTATGCATCTATCTCTCCCACTGTGAGAATCAAGTACGGAGTACATGTTTTTTTTAAAGCCGAGTATTGGGAAAATGCTATGCATATTCCTGCCACCTCTATCCTCTATTATAACGGGAGTTGGGATGTGCAAGGACATCTATTCAATAATTCCGAATTTCTGATAGTAATATGAATACTGATAATTAGCTTTCAAAAAAGAAAAAGAAAAATGAATACTGATAAATAAGTAAGGAGTACAACAATGAGGGCCATTTGGAATGTGGGGTTGCAGAGATTCTCTCCATCCTATTGTGATCAGGGTCGGCCTCAAAAAAATGAAAAGAAATTGGCCCGTCTGAAATTTACATTTTGGGTCCTATTTTATTATTTTAGAATACTTATGCTTCAAGTGGAAGTAGAAAAAGTTTAAATTATTACTCCGTATTAATATCATTACAGCGGAATTATTTCGACCATGCCATATGAATGAGAATGAACCTTCAAGTAAAAACCTTTAGAGGTCAAGGACACATCCTTCTTAAAATTGTCAATTGTTCTTTTGCAAATGGCATTATTTTCTGCTGTATAATTAGAAATTAGCAAGAATATTAATGATATTTATAGATCAAGCAGAAAAGTACCGAATAAGATTTAAAAAGTTCAATGCAAGTGTTAAAAGGGTATGTAATAATACAAACATGGCAAAAAAACATGATTCTCTACCATTCATACAATGGATACATAGATAAGAGCATAAGCAATAGACACGCAAAACAACTTATCATGTATGTGCTGCATCTCTATTCCAAATTCATAGCACGCCACTTAGCTTCTTTGAAGAACTGGTTCAATCAAACTCGTCAAACAATGATTGCCTTATATCGTCATCGTCCACGAACCCTTGTTCTTTCGTATCCTTCCCAATGGTATTCGGCTTAGATCATTTTTTTTATTTGAACCATTCTATGCAAAAAGAAAAGTCTTTTTTCAGAACATGCCATGTTAATACACAATCAGTCTTTGTGGAATGTTAATATAGCTTGGGATTGCACCGCAACAGGCATTGCATAAATTTGGTTGGTGTGAAATGCAGACAAATAAATGCAAAGGAGATACCTCGAAATAAAAATGCGGAGGAAACGGAATTGGAATGCAAAGTGAATCAGCCTAAATGTGGATTCAAAGAGGTGCTATATATAGTGCAGGAACTGCCATTGATGGTATATTTGTGAAACTCAAGAAATTCTGAAAAATGGTTGAGAGATAAATTGATGATGAGTTATAGCAATAATAGAAAGCAAGTAAGGAAGGAAAAGCAAGGGTGAAGGAATTGAAACGGGTGAATGAAATGCTATGGAATGCCCAAATTTTATATTGATGGGATGGTAGCCATAATTGAGTTTCATTATTGCCACCTGTAGTGTTTTGTCTTAACATGCCAAAGATTTATAATATCAAATATTATCAAAATATTACTTTATCTAATAAATATCTTATATTTATTAGATTTATAATATCAAATATTATCAAAATATTACTTTATCTAATAAAAATACAATATATATTATATTTAATAATAGATCAAAAGTTAAAAATACATAACAAAAAAAAGTCAAACCTAGACAAAAACTCAGGGACAGAGATAGAAATATATAATTGGCAATGACTCAATTTTTTTCGAACACGTGCATTGCACGGACTGGACATAAATTTTATGTGAATATACACATTTTCTTGGAAACAAATTATTTCTAGAAATTCTTGCGTATTTAATATTCATAAGTTATTGAGTTAACCAATAGTAATTTCTAACACTAAAAAACAAAGGTTTGAAACAATGGTTTTAATTTTTGTCTTCAAGCTATTGTCTTGATATAAAATTTATGTCCGCAGTTGAACATAGAAACCAAAATCTATGTTTGGTAACACAAAAAGTTACTTAGGTATAGCTAACTATGACTGAGAACTAAATTTTCATGGGTATAAATAGCATATAGTAAGGGGTAACCAACTCTCCACATTAAATGCATGTATTTGTTAAATCTTGAGCCACGCGTTTCTTTTTATCGACTCTCGAAAATATAAAGCATGCATTTTTTAAGTTTTTGCTTTTTTCATTTTTCCATAAAAATAATGATGAAGTACCCGGTTTTATAGTTACACATCCAACTCTCCACATTAACTGTTTTTTTCTTTTATTTGATTAGAAATAAAGATTACCTTGAGCCACACATTTCTTTTTCTCGATTTTCGAAAACATAAAGCATGAATTTTTTAAGCTTTTGCTTTTTTGTTTTTCCATAAAAAGTAATGATGAAGCACGTTGTTTTATGCCTACACATCCAGCAATCAACATTAAATACATATATTTATTAAATTTTTTCTCTTATTCGATTAGACATAAAGATTGTCTTGAGCCACACATTTCTTTTTCTCGAAAAGATAAAGCATTCATTTTTCAAACTTTTGCTTTTTCGTTTTTAATAAAGAGTAATGATGAAGCACATGATTTTATGGCTACATGTCCAACTCGATTCTCAAAAACATAAAGCATCAATGTTTCAAGATTTTACTTTTTTTGTTTTTCATAAAGAGTAATGATGAAGCACGCAACTTTATAGCTTTACATTTAACTCTTCACATTAGATGCATGCATTTGTTAAATCTTTTTTTATTCGATTAGACATAAAGATTACCTTGAGCCACACATTTTTTTCTCGATTTCTCAAAAATTTATGTTTTCAAAATGTAGCATTTAAAAGTATAATTCATACACTATTTGTTATTTAAAAGTAATTTATTTTTTAATATAAATTGTAATTGAAAAGCCAAAAAAAATTGGGCCGTTATATTCGGCCCAAACCACCCAAACCCAACCCATACCTAAAATATATAAACTCCCCCCTAACCTAGCCGCTCATTTTCCACTATCGCCGCTCACCGCTCGCCGCTCGCGGCCTTCTCCATCTCTCTAGATGTTTCGATGGGAATGCCATCAAATATTCCGGCGATTACTACTCCTCTAATTCCACGACTTCAGTCGTCGATACACGCCGTGTGATGTATCTCAATTGTGTGATTGTAAAATCACTGGCGGCGATGTGATTTTGTGTATTCTATCTCCGGCAAAAACCTTCCTTTTCGGGTAATTGTATTCAATTCAGTGTCAAAATTATCTCCTTGTAGCTTCGGCTTTGAAAAATCTACCTTTTTTCATACTTTAATATGAAACTCTAGATCTGTTTGTTATTCATTAATCTTATTTGTTAAATGTTAAAAATTTCTGATCCAGATTGATAGATCTACCGGGTTACAGATATGCATGAATTTTTAAATATATCTATATATGAGATATTATTTTCAAAAATACATTTTAAAGTAAGATCTATTGGAATTTTAAACTTAAACTGTACGGGGCTTGAAAGCAGTCTATTTAAATGAATATAAATCTATGGTTTCATATTAGATATGTTGATTTATTTTTAAGAAAGCGCATGAATCGGAGAATATGTAAAAAAAATAGATCTATCGTTTTAAAATATATATCTTAATTTTTTTAGTAACTAAAGCATGCATAGTTGCAATCACTTTTAAAAATTATAGATGTATGGTTTTGTATTATATCTCTTCATTTTTTTCAAGAAACTGAAGCATGCATTAATATTTCTGATATTTTTTAAATAAATATTACTCTCTGGTTTCATATTTCAAGTCTTTATAATTAAGCTTGTGGCACCAATTACCGTGCTGCCATTAGCTTATATCACTTGCCCTTGTTGTTCCAAGGTATTAATATACATATACTTATTTTATATATTATATTATATATATAATTATTACTCCGTATTAACGTAATACAGGTCCCAACATCGGAGTGTGTCTAAATATAGGGCTGTGATGATATGGAAGGACTGAAATCTGTTATGGTGAATTTTTAGGATTTTAATGTTTGAGGCATAAAAAAACAAACGTATCTTGGCGTGGCGTAACGGAATTAACCCCCGTTGTTGCAGCCATGGCGATTTTGTTTCTTATATTGCTTCAAACTTAAAACCGGATTAAAAAATCTGAGCCTCTATTGTAATTATTATATATATACATGTGGTATATGGCTACAATATACACAGTATATATATATATATGTATGTATGTATGCATGTATATATGTATGTATGTATGTAAAATGTAAAGAAGGAAACACCATTGTTGTGGAGAGCTAGATGCTCAATGAGAAATAGAAAGATTGAATGAGAAATAGAAAAGTGGGAATGTGGGGGTGTTGTGGTGTTGGTGAATCATAGAATGACTTATTATTTATACTATCAGGATTTGTGAGATTGGTATGGGATATAATGTTGGATTTGACACAAAGTTACTTTTTCATTTACTTTATGGAGCCACTCAATTTTTTTCTCCAATGCAAGTTTATAGAACCACTAAAAATAACTTTATGGAACCACTAAATTTTTGTTCCCCAAAAATTGTGTAAATCTTTATATTTAATTGATTAGATGGAAAGCATTGATTTGGCTCTTTTCCACATAAAGCATTATTGCTTTACTTTATCGAGCCACGCACAGCTGACCGCAACCCCATAAAGCTGTCAGCAACATGCCCAAGAGAAAAGCAGTAAAATCGGCCCATTAACAACAGCCCAGTCCGGCCCAACTGTTGTAGGAGAAAATGGCGGGAACACTGTTCATAAGCTCCATTTACCATTGTATATAGGAAGATAGTGGCATACGTACGTCGAGGCATGCAGCCAGTCAGTCATAGACGCGTCGCGGTGGGCCTCCTAATGCCGAGTAATTAATCATCCCCCTCTCTCTCTTCTCTTTACAAAATTTACAGCACATTTACCATAAGAATGTCAAATTAAAACTTTTTTCTTTTGAAATGTGTACAAAACTTTATACTATTAATTTGGATTTACGAGGTAAATATCGGTTTTTTTTAGATCGTTTTATTTACAAATTGTTATATCAATAAAAAAAATTAAAATTACAAATTAAAAAACTACATCAAAAGTTTTACAAAATAAGAGATGACAAGAATATTTCATTTTATCAAATAATTATTGAAAGCACAAAAATAAATAAAAGTTGTCGAGAAGTGAAGAAAAAAAAGGATTGTAATCAAAATTGAGACGAAGAAGTATTTATTTTCTTAAATTATTCACCTTGGTCAAACTTGAGGCATTGAAATTCTAATTACCACTTAAACTTTATACTCCGGGTAATAGATTAACAATCACTCTATTCCTATATAATTTTTCAATTTACTTTTTAGACTGATTTTAAAAAAGTAAAATTGTATCATCGAAATTTGTGTAGATCGGATAATTAATATAAATTAAACACAATTCATTTTAAAATTAATGAGAATATTAATTAGTGACATCTATCTATAAATGAAAGTAGGAAAAGAGAATACTACAATTTTTATTTATTTGATGATAAAACTTCATTTAAAATAAGTAAAAAAGTCAAAGTGTAGATAAAATTAGAGCGATGATTTATATTGTATTAGAAAATAGAAAGTGGATTTGTCGTCTAGACAAATCTATTTTAATTTCTTCTATGTTAGACAATAATTGGATCGGAACACGTATCCACCCGAGTAATCTCTCTCTCCGTTTTATTTACCAACATACATAAGAGCACTGGAAATACCTTTAAAGTTCCGGGGCTTCAAAATTTCTCTCTCTGCCACGTCAGCTTTAACTTACTTCACAATTTCACTGGAAATGGGTATGAAGGCCCGAGGCTTCACACTGGGGCTTCAAACCTTAATTTTTTTAAATTTTTTATTACATATTTTATAAAATTAAATTAATAAAAATTCATTACTTAATTAAATTTAAACGACAATAATTCATTAAATGAAAAATAATTACCTTCAATAAAAAAGAACATTTAATTTAAAAAAATTACATCAATTAAAAACTTAAAACAAATTATATTTAGTCTTGATCTCGTTATGTCTTCTCTCGAAAGCAAATTATATTCACTTGGTCGTTTGACTTGAGACCGGACAAAGGAAAACTAAATCTGATGAAGAGATTCATGCTAAAAAAGATGAAAAAAATTAAATATTATTTTTTAAATTTGAAGAAGATAGAGGAAAAGATTTTGTGGGTGTTCAGTTTTTTTTAATTGAAGAAAAAAGATTTTGTTTGTGAGTTTTATTTTTTAAAAAATAAGTTAATTTATAGAAGATTTTTTTAAAATTTTTGTAACGGCTTG